TACCAATTAGCAAATCAATTAACAGCGCAGTGATAATTGCACTCCACTGTAGTATTCGGTTTGAGTTATAAAGCATTAATATTAATTACAACATCAATTAATAATTCTACAAAAAATCAGGGCATTCAAATATTATAGAATTCGTATTAAATATGTTGCATGGGCACTTAAACAGTTACTAAGCTCACAGTATAGTTTTCACCTGTAGGACGTCACGGTGGCATACGAATAGATTGCCATTACCGAGCGCAGAAACTGCGGCGAGACATTTCAAGCACAACCCGAAAGCAGGAGCCTCTCCGCGGGCGAGGACACGGTTACCGAGATCAAGCACAGCTCAGAGCAGCGCTGCTTCTGCCCGCGAGTCGTGCAAGGTCAGCGCGAAACGGATTTTCCTTTCCGGCACCAGAACTAAAACACGGTTCTGACGTCCCTGCGCTGCTCCTGGCGCTCATCCTCATGAGGACGAAGCGTCAGCACAGGCGTCTTCACTCGCAAAGCATGGAAGCTCTTTATTAAAGCAGAGGCACACCGAGCACGCAAAAAGGAGCCAGCTTACAACGGAGAAGCGCATTTTAGAAATGCAGCACATTGCGTGTCTTACAGAATATCGTGCCGGCTTCTACACTCGGTTTGTTTCCATCTCAAAAAGTTTCAACTTGATGGACAAACGAGAACGGGAGCCAGGCGGCCCTCGCGCGTCTTGAGCTACCCAGCTCTGCGTTATCGATATGCTCGATTGATCGAGGTGGGGGGGAGAAGCACGACCCGGACGGGAGACGGAGACACGAGGACGCGCGGTTCCCACGGCCAGCCGGCAGGGTGGGGTGGGCCGAGCCCGAGCCCGAGCCCGATAGCGGACCATTGGTCCTGGCGCGCGGGCACTCACGTTGCAGCTGCCGCCGTTCTTGCAGGGGTTGCTGTCGCACTCGTTGGTCTCCATCTCGCAGTTGGTGCCGCTGAAGCCCGGCCGGCAGGCGCACGTGTAGCTGCCCTGGCCCGTGTTGGTGCAGGTGGCGCCGTTGAGGCACGGCCGGTGGTTGGTGCAGTAGTTGAGGTCCTGGTTGCAGAACAGGCCGCCCCAGCCCTCCAGGCAGTGGCACTGCCAGGGCTGCCCGCAGGTGCCGTGCAGGCAGCCGGGGTAGCGCACGCACTCGTCGCACAGGCGGCCCTGCCAGCCCAGCCTGCACTTGCACTCTCCTGGAGACTCGCAGTACCCGTGCTTCTGGCTGCAGCCAGACAGGCAGATGGCTGTTTAAATTGGGGAGGGGGGGGGAGAAAAAAAAGAAAGCAGGGGTGGAATTAGTATGGTTACCCCTCCCAAACGCCACCCCCCCCAGCCCCCAGCCCCCAGCCGGCCTCCTCTCCCAGCCCCGGAGCTCGCCGAGCGCCGGGCCGGGCAGCTGGCGGGGACACAAAGGGAACACATGTCGCCGTCTTTCACGCCAGGCCGCGCGCGTTAAGCCCCAGCGCGTGCCTCTGCCCCACCACGCGCTGTGCGCCCATTGTCGGGCCGAACAAAAGGGCGCGAGCGGGCGAACCAGGACGATTTGGAGAAGGAGGGGGGTGGGACTCAACCTGAGGGAGAGCTGTTGACCCTTTTGCATCTATAACAACCAGCCCCGTGTTTTTTTTTTCCCCCGGAGTGGGGGGGGGGGCTGAGATTTCTAGGCAACGCGTGACCCCCCTCCGCCTCTCCCCGCCCTCGCCATTGTAAATGCCTGGGTACCGACCAGAGGGCCAGATGAACCCACCCTTTCAAGCTTAAAATTTGTTAAAATTAACTCCCACGCCTCTCTCTGATTACGGGCACCGGGCGCGTCAGGAGCTCGTGTTGATCTGCGGGGTTCGGGTAACAACGCTCCCCCGTTGTGCATCTTAACCCCCTGTTCTAAGGAACACTCGCATGCGTAGGAAAGCAAGAGAAGGCAGGCACGACTTGGACAGGGGAGTCTACCCCTCATCCCTCCGCTCGCTTGTTCTCGCTCC